TTCCTTGGAAGCGAGGATGGTGAGACTTCGTCTTGTGTACTTTGGACATGTTATGAGGAGGGACCAGTCCCTGGAGAAGAACATCATGCTTGGTAAAGTAGAGGGTCAGTGAAAAAGAGGAAGACCCTCAACAAGATGAAGTGACAGTGGCTGCAGCAATGGGCTCAAGCGCGACAGTGACTGTGATGATGCTGTAGGTCCAGGTGGTATTAAACGTACTGTTGTACACGGGGTCCCTTTGAGTAGGAGCTGACTCGACAACACCTAACAACAACGACATAAAAGATAATCCTGTCTTTTTCCATTTCCTTTGTTCTCCCCATTCGTCTCTTACCTTCCAACCCCTACCTACCCCACACGGATACAAACAAAACCTAGTTACCAAAAAGCTGCCTGGACGTGGATGGAAACTATCCTAATGAGTAACCTGTGCAATTGAAGTCACTGGTTTCTAGAGCCATACCGTGAACAGTCTGACTGAGGCAGCGAGAAGTTGACAGTGAGCTGTGCTCCTGTCTGCAGTGTTGCTTTAAGAAGAGATTCTGTCGGTTCAGTGGTCACGATTGTGATTCTCTCTCAGTTTAATGGCTATTGAGCTTTAGGGATCTAGGCGAGCCGCTTTTGTTGTTAAACAGAAGTAAGGCAGTTAGACTTTTTTCCTTTAAAAGTATTACAGTTTTCCCTTTGAATCATTTATCAAAATTTTGAACAGAATATTGTTACTCCTTGAGGTCTCATAAAGCATAATTCCTATAAATTTAATGACGCTTAAGTGGGCCACTTCAGACCTGTGGCCAAGCATTTGGTCGCTGAGGTGATTTTGATATATCTCACATCCCTGTAGCGTATCGCTGCACGGGTCTAATTCTGTCATCTGTGTTTGGGATTGAGTCTCCTGACAGTGCTGTTGGAGTAGCTGGAGTCATTGCATGACAGCGGTCCTAACTGTGTGTGTGTGAGACTTTGGACACTGTCTGAGAGGGTTTTATTGAACTGGGTTCGAGTGCTTTTCCATGATTGCTTCTACACCCTTACTTCCTTTCTCCAGGGTATGCTGGGAAAATCAGCCAGATGCCGGTGATTTTGACACCATTACATTTTGATCGGGACCCCCTTCAGAAGCAGCCTTCATGCCAGAGATCTGTGGTTATTCGCACCTTCATCACCAGTGACTTCATGACCGGTGTACCTGCAACGCCTGGCAGTGAGATCCCCGTGGAGGTAACTTAGGCCTTTCTTTCTGGCGGACGTTATGCATTTTATGATAGGGTGAGTGGACCAGACTGTGACAGGGTCGGTATTTCAGGTGTCTGTTCGTGAGATGGGCTTTCATTTTTTATCTCCACGTACTTCCCCTGTAACGCACTGTAGCAGAAAAGGCCTTACGTTTACTGTGCCCCTCCACCACCCGTGTCTGATTACTGTGTGGAGGGTAACCAGCTGTACTCTATAATTTTATCTAATCCTGCCAACCTCTACTTCATAAATACTATATCCTGAGTAAAGAAGCAGACCCCAGGAGCAAAGAAGAGTTTATTAGAAATAAAGAGGAGATTTGATGGCATTATGGCCAGATACCCACAAGTTGCTGAATGCTCTGCCTACTAACAGTTACATGTTTGACCACCATCTCCCCTCCTTCTGCTCCCCCTCCACCCTCTACTCTCCAGAGGTACTTTTTATGTAATATCAGATGGAAGTCTGAGTGAGGCTTTCTTAGTTGGGCCACTGCTCCAGTTCTCTGATGCAAGCCTCTGGTTATAGCTGGGTCAGAGGACGTTACTTGGAGTCTGCTTGCCCTCTGGCTCAAACTTGCTGGATCTCTGGTGAGCCAAGTGACTGGCCCTTCCTGCCTTCCTGGACACTTGACAATGATTGTTATGGCCTCAGAGTTGTATGTTGAAGCCACAGATAATTTGAGAAACATTGGCTGAAACACATAAAATCACATGCTTGGATGCCACAGCAATGTCAAATTGTTACAGAAGTTTCTAAGTGCTTTGTGCATATTTTGCATGTAGCTTGTTGTGGAGCAGTAACAGACACGGCTCACGTACAGGCATCTGTTTGCAGACCACACTTTGAGTAGTGCTGAGTTTCAGTCACTTACGTCTTGTGTAGAGGGAAATAGGCTCACTACATATGATTAATCAGACCATCCCATGTACGTAGAGGACAGTAGTGAAATGTATCGCATTTTAGTTTTAAATTGCACGTGTGAGCCCTCTAGGACTGTTTGACGTGTGGTAGATCCTGCTCTCCTATTCATGATCTTTGTTTTATAACAGGTGGTGTTTAAGATGGTCGCTGAGATTAAGAAGATTCCTGGTATTTCTCGAGTTATGTATGACTTAACGTCCAAGCCCCCAGGGACTACTGAGTGGGAGTAATAAACTTCTTGTTCTTTAAAGTGCTGTGTGCAGTTCAAGTTGATTAGAAACCATTCCCAGTATTGACATGTAGTACTGTGACCAGAGGTACCGGAGCTGCTACATCACATCTGAGTTCTGTACGGGAAAAATCTGCTGCTTAAGAGCTAAACTGGGGATGACTGAAGGGGACTTGAGTTGGACGGGGAAATAATCAGGGCACCATTGCCTACGCTCAGACGGACAGTCCTGCTTCTGCCTGTCCCTTGCTTGTTCTGTATGTATAGACTCGCTGTGGATGTCTCTGTCCTACGAAGCTGTGTGAAGGTGGGTGAGTTTGGGAGTATAACGGGCTTCTGTCCCCTTACCAGATCTAGAGCTGTTAGAGACACCCCTTATTCACCAGTGTGACGTAGTGTGTGTACCTTTCAGAGAATCTGAGTTTCCTGTAAGTAAGCTTATTCCTCCAAAGGGTGGGGAAGGTGAGGATCAGATAATGGTCTAGTTGAGCTGTCCGGGCTATTTCTGCAGGATGCTGGCGCTATGAAACGAGCCACTTTATGCTGGACAAAGCACCAGGAATTTGTTGAAGTATTTTAGAATTTTATGATCTCACAGCCATGGGGGGAGAAACTTTGAGTGGTCTCAGGTTAAAATGTTTTCAGGTCATGTTCCACCTAGGTGCCACGTTGTTCACAGTTAACTTGTTCGTTAGTAAGGTTGTTAACTTGTTCGTTAGTAAGGTGCCCCCACAGCCGCACAGAGAAAGGTTCTTCTCTGTCCCCAGAAGTGAGAGACCGTCTCCGTGGTGTCTCTGGTGGAGCATGTGTGAGGTTCAGTCTCTCGTTTGGCTGGTCAGAGGAGAAGCTCTGAGTTTGCAGAAGCCGTCTCACATGCCCACAGCTTACAATGGAAGTGGTAAAGTGCTTATCGAATCTAATAAAGAGTTCTCAAATGAACTACTACATCTAATTCATAGATATGTCACCCACTGCTACCAAGACCCTGACCCGTCTTGGTCCATGCAGGGTATTTGCCAAGCCTTGTAATCCCCTCTGCTAGCTGCAAAACGGGACACAAGGACAGACGGACTCCCTGCCATACCACCAGTTCCTAACAGATCATTGCCGACATTCGTATGTTGTTGTTGTCGTCAGCTGCTGTCGAGTCAGTTCTGACTCATAGCAACCCCGTGTGCAACAGAGTGAAGCACTGCCCAGTCCTGTGCTAGCCTCTCAATCATTGCTGTGTTTGAGCCCGTTACTGCAGCCACTGTGTCAGTCCGTCCCATTGAGGGTCTTCCTCTTTTTCCCTGACCCTCTACTTTACCAAGCATGATGTCCTTCTCCAGGGACTGGTCCCTCCTGATAACATGTCCAAAGTACATGAGATGAAGTCTCGCCATTCTCGCTTCGGAGAAGCATTCTGGCTGCACTTCTTCCAGGACAGATTTGTTCATCCTGGCAGTCCGTGGCGTGTTCAGTATTTTTCACTATCAGCATAATTCAGTCATCAATTCTTCAATCTTCCTTATTCATTGTCCAGCGTTTGCATGCGAGGCGATTAAAAACGTCATGGCTTGGGTCAGGCGCACCTTAGTCCTCAAAGTGACATCTTCGCTTTTTAACACTTTAAGGAGGTCTTTTGCAGTAGATTTGCCCAATGCGGTATGTCGTTTGATTTTTGACTGCTGCTTCCATGGGCTTTGATTGTGGATCCAAGTAAAATGAAATCCTTGACAACTTCAGTATTTTCTCCGTTTATCATGATACTGATTACTGGTGCAGTTGTGGGGATTTTTGTTTTTGATCTTCGTCAGTCAGTGCTTTATGTCCTCTCTGCTTTTAGCAACAAGATTGTGTCATCTGCATATTATAGGTTGTTAATAAGTCTTCCTTCAATCCTGATGCCCTGTTCTTGTTCGTATAGTCCAGCTTCTCGGATTATTTGCTCATCCTACAGATTCAATAAGTATGGTGAAAGGACACAACCCTGAAGCACACCTTTCCTGTTTTTAAACCACATACTGTCCCCTTGTTCTGTTGGAATGACTGCCTCTTGGTCTATGTACAGGTTCCTCATGAGCACAGGAAAGTGTTCTGGTTGATTCCCATTTGCAGTGTTATCTATAATTTATTATGATCTACACAGTCGAATGCCTTTGCATAGTCAATAAAACACAGGTTAACATCTTTCTGGTATTCTCTGCGTTCAGCCAGGATCCATCTGACATCAGCAGTGATATCCCTCAGTGCATATCCTCTTCTGAATTTGGCTTGAATTGCTGACAGTTCGCTGTTGATGTACTACTGCAGCAGCTTTTGAGTTAAGCAGAATTTTTCCTGTGTGTGATATTAATGATATCGTTTGATAATTCCACATTCTGTGTGATTACCTTTCTTTGGAATGGGCACAAATATGGATCTCTTCCAGTTGGTTGGCCAGGTAGCTGTCTTCCAGATTTCTTGGCATAGATGAATGAGCGCTTCCAGCGTTGCATCCTGTTGTTGAAACATCTCAATTCATACTCATTTAAGCACTATAAAAGTAGTACTAGACTTAAATTCTATAGTCATTCCTCTCTCTGTATGGCCTCACTCTATATCTTAGCCAGCTTTTGAATGTTACTGTGTTTTTCTCTTACAAATTCCATTTCAGGTGATTGCTGCCTCTTAATTTTCAAGGTCTTTTCTATTAATGAGGTGGAAGATTTTGTTTGGGATTCAGTGATTGGTGAACAACAGAATGATGCATGGCAAGTCTTTTCATTCTGGCTGACCCAGAGGACGAGAAAACTGCTGCTGGACCAGCAAGGGAGAAGTGTCTGTCTGTCTTTGCTGGTTACCTGTACCCACGACAAAGGAGTGTTTGACTTCCACAGAACTTGACGGGTTCATTCTCTATCCTGGCGAGGAGGTACTCATAAGGGCCTCCTGGAAAGAGCTGGATTAGATAACCTATAAAAGGTTTACAGACATTTACCAGTACAGTGTTTATTTGAAAAAAATTTCTCTTTTAGCAAAAGTTACAGTTTTGTATTCAAGCAAATAATAGAAGTTTAGGAGGAATATGTTACACAGTGGGTTAAAGAGCTCGGCTGGTAACTGAAATGTTGGCAGTTCTAAACCACTAGCCACTCTTTGGGAGAAAGATGTGGCAGTCTGCTTCCGTAAGGATTACAGCCTTAGAAACCTTACAGGGCAGTTCTCCTCTGTCCGTAGGGTCGCTATGAGTCGGAATCGACTCAGCGGAAGTGAGTTTGATTTGGTTTGATTTATGTCCCGTGGAACGCTGAAGCATCGAGATGGTCCATGTACAAAAAGTTACGATGGTCGTGTAAGTTTGAGAAGTGCTACACACTTGTCCACTAGTCTGGGAGGTTCATGATACACAGTCTGTAAAAAGCGCTGTGAAATTCTGCAGTTAGAAAAATTGTTAATCTCTGCTTAACCTCGTGTTTGTTGACATGTCCGTGACCCCTTTTCCTGTAAGCCTTGCTAATTCTAGGTAGATGGTTTTTCCGAAACACACCTTGACATGCTGTCGTAAAAATACCGAGTTTCTCTGGAATTCAGAAATTTTCTAATGTTTTGTACCCTCTTCTCCTTCGCAAAGCACTTTTGCTTTGCCCCATACGGTGTTACTCTGTATTTTCACAGCATTTCATCCAAGCAGCCAAGCAAAGTTAGGTTGCGGTCTTAGTTTACAGTTAAGGGAAAAAGCTCAGTTCAGGAATAGCTGCCTAGTGAGTTTCAGAAATAAATACCAGGTTTCCTTAGTCCCAGTTGTCCTTTCACTGAATCTGTTCTGAGGCCTACAGTTATATACTTACGGGATGACTATTTTTAACGACACTGGTGTGGTGGCTCCTTGGTTAATAATATCCAGCAGTGGCTGTCCTTGACAGAGCATGGCCTCGTTCCCCTTGCCTACCGCCTACCTAGGACACCTCTAGTTAATTAGCATGTTTTGTTTCTTTGTACCTAATAGATAGGAGGAAGACAGATTCCTAAGATCAACAGACACAAAAGAATGCCAGATGCTCAGTCCCTCCTTAACTGTCCCATCTGTGGCTGTCAACTGTCTTAGAAATAATTAGCCCGGCTTTAATTTCTGGGGTCAGGCCTTTAGATTTATCCAGGAGATAATATTACACTTTTTTGATCTCTTGTAGCCTCTTAATCTTAAAGTAGCTGCCTGTGTGTAGCCAAACAATCATTATGAAAGTTTATCTCCTCGCTGTGTTTGGGCTTATCCCCTGACAGTCTGTTTCACTGAATAACTTGACTCTAAACTGTAGAGAGAGACAGGGCCATCGGATACGGTAGACAGGACTGTCCACCTTTGGTGCTGTGTCCTGCCAGTGGCCAGCTGTGTGAACATGGTCAGTATATTTGAACTCTGGTTCTCCTTCTTTTTCTGTAAGAGGAGGCAGCTGGATTAAATTTCCAACGTTAAATCCATCCCTAAATTCTTATTTTACAAGATAAGCGTGTTGTTGGGTGCCATCGAGTCATTTCTGACTCTTAGCGACCCCAGGTTGTAATCTCTATGGGAGCAGATCGTCAGGTCTCATAGCAGAGACAAAATGGAAAGCTAGCTTTTTTTTTTTTTCTTTTAATGTCAGGTATAACCCAGTCAAAGGTAAGCTTTAGTGCATATTCCAAAATCAAATATTAATTACTTTTTTTTTTTTGGTGCTGTTGTAGAGAAGAACAAGGTCTGAACAGTTGAGAACCTTTCTTTTGCTGTGACTCTTTACTCACACCATCCAAGCATTCCTGGTGACAGTCTCTTTACTCTTTGCTTCGGCTTTGAGAGTAATGGAAGTTATATTATCATTTATACATAGCTAATGGTTGGCAGAGCTGGAGCTAGAATCCAGGCCTTTTGATTCCCTGCGTTGAAAAGACTCTTCAAGGCAAAACTTAAAAGGAAGTTCTCAGTGTGTGATTAACCATCAGTGATAAATTCACTCTCAGAGTGTTAATCATCTCCTCATTTACAGTGACTGAGTAAGTAGTCTCTGGGGATAGCGGTATCTCTCAGGAATTCCTTTGACCTTTCATGCCCAGTGTTACGCTCCCGTTTCTCCCCACCTGTCCTGCTTTCCTGTACTCCCACCCCATCCTGCACAGACTGCTCGTTAGGATGCAGTGAGGATGCATCTTGCTATTACCTCAGGGGGTGCTCCTTTCATTGGCCCAGATTCTGAATGTAGGGGAACTGAATACAGGTTGGATATCTCCACCCCTGGAAAGCAGCCCTGCGTTCACACTAAGGTAGTTAGCCACACGGGTGACAGGGAATCAGGTATCTTTTTCACCATTGTGGGGCCTAGACAGCAGTAACGGTGGCAGCATTGGCTCCTGTATTCTGAACGTTTCGTTGAATGACTAGCGAAGAGAGTTGCAATCCCTCAATGAGTGCCAGGATTCCAGCTCCCAATCCTAGTCTTACATACTGAAAAGGCCCAGGGATTCCACCCAATGCTAACCTTTTTGTCAGAGGTTCCCAACCCTGGATGCCTATTATTGTTACCTGAGGAGTTAAAAAAAAAAAAAATACAGTGCATAGGCCCCGTAATTAAATTAGAATCTTGGATGGAGCCCAAGCATTGATGGCTCTAAACCCCAGATAATTCTGACGTGGTCAGGCTTCAGATCCCGTCTTAATGTCCTCTGCTGAAACAGCTCGTTATTGACCACCTATCTGGCCTATCCAGTAATGACTGGCAATCTTAGCCACATGCAAAAAGCGGGGCATAGAGACTGCCTTGCTCAGGGTCTTATAGCTAAATTAGTTCAGCACAAGGACCAGACTTTGGAAATAGTTCTGCCTATACCGTAAGACACTCCGAGGGCCTGTTTAGTGATAGTTGGGACAGCTGACGTAAACGTTGCCCCTGTTGAGATCTGTGCAGCAACTGCATAGGCTTTTCTCTTTCCACTTCTTTTTTCCTGCTCCCTTTGCTTTTCTTTCAAAAAGGAGAGATCCGCGCCTATGCTGCATCTACCCCTCCGAATCTGATGCTAGCCAGGCCATGAAACAGAGTAACTACCGCAGCAACTCGGAAGTCTTCCTTGAGCCGAGGCATTGGGGTGTCATTCTCTAGGGAGCTAGAGGTGACCTACCTGTAGCCTAGGTTCCCTGAACTGGATTTGAGCAGCACCGTCTTAGTTTA